AGGAGGGCTTAGCTAGCGCCTCACTGCAATCTTTAAAGGTCGTTTTCTCAAAATGAGTTTTTTCTCCTACTCTGAGTTCGAAATTTCAACTTCAGTAGCAGGTATCCACACCAAACCTTCCAGTTATATTCCTATCAATATTATGAAGGCTTTTACAGAAGGGTTTGTTCATATATCATTCATAGCCTGAATTATACAACATTGTATACCTAAAAACATGGCAAAAATTGATATTTTAGGGCTGTTGACAGTATTTTCTGATCTATGGAGTGATAAAAAGAGATATCTAATATCCCTTCTGTAAAAGCCTTAGATACTAATATGACTACGAAATGAAACAAGAATTTTGAACCTGGCTTTATCCAAAGTTCAGATTTCGATTCCTGAAATGTGTTAAAATATGCACATATTTGATGACATAATGGGTAATTTGCATATTTAAACATGCTATTTCAGAAAACTTGTAATAAAAAAGACAATTGCCTTATTGTAAGTAATTAACTGGAGAAATATCTAGCTGATACCTTTAAGTTAAAAAAATTACCCTATTCACCTGGGGTGTCTCGCCTTAAGTAGCGAAAATCACAAACTGTTATCTGCAGTCAAAAAAAGCAAATAAAGCCATCTTATGAGATCATTTCATATACCTACAAGACATTTCAGTAAGATATTGTCTTCTACAGGCCAATCTCACCCATATCCTATCAAGTTATTCATCAAGTGACTCAATAAGTTAACTCTGTGCTTCGTCATTATTTACACATTAGTGATAAGGTGAATCAACATGGATGAAAGAGCTGCAAAGTGCCAGAAATAAGTGAACTCAGACTGATCGTATAATGTGCTAATGTATTTTTGCTTTCATGTTACAAGGGAGAAGTGTAAACGTCCTACGTACATCGCTGTGCTTGAACAGCTCGTGCATGTTGATGCCTTCCGTGTTGAAGAGCGTCTCTTTCTCTCCCGTCTTCGTGGTGACTTCACTAAGCAGGCAGCGCGTCAGGCCTTTGGTTTCCATGATGACGGCGTTCTGAGCCAGTGTTGACAGGACTGAAGTCAGGTCAAAGTGCACCTTGCTCACCGGCAGCACCAGGTCCACCTGTGAACGAGGGGCAGAAGGGTTTAAAACAATAACCCTTTAAAGAGCTGTTGATACTTTTACCACACACATGGAGTTACATTACAGATACATTTGGTCCTCAGAAGAAGCATTTACACTGCAGATAGTTCTTCACAACTGTCAAATGACCCTCTAATAAAGGGGCCCTCTCAGCAAATGTACAATTGCATACTTGATAAGGAGATTTGAATATGTCCTGCAAAGCACAGGAAGCTATGTGCTAATGCTGCTTCAGCTGCCTGCCAGTTTGCTTTAAAATCAGCACATCTACTGACATGATCATCTACGCAGGTATAAACAAACAATACATTACGCAATGAATATATCTTTTTTTATTAGAGGCCTACTGTAGGTTTTTTTCAACTATCTGTAAATCAATGAACTAAACTCAATACAAGTTAATAATAGGGTTGCCAGAAACTGACCATGATCAAAATCGATTATTCGGCAGCCCTGGCGAATAATCATCGATTATTAGACCGACCGACCGACCCCCCCATTTTTCAGCAAAATATTTTACAAAATGTCACTGACATGGCTGAATGCAGTTTCAAAAACCTATAAACCACACTACAGGAAAGATGAAACTGCAAAAAGCACAATAGGCCCATTTACTGAACTGAAAGACAGGTAGCCTACTGAATTTCTTTTTCTGAACCACACACGTTTCATGTTAGCTTGAATACGGACATTAAATGTAACCAAAATCACACAGAACTTACTTATAAGAGTGTGTTAAAGAGAAATAGAAATAGAATCTGAGAAAGACAACACCGTGTCGCAATTTGCACTTTTCTAATCTACATTTTTTTGCAGTTTGAACTGTGGGAACCATAAAGGGTCATAGCACAACATTTCTACTAAGGCCTCTTTACAAACCCTGGGTCAGCCGTATATTTGTGACACGTTGCTGGAGACGCTAGCCATGCAGCTCTAATAAACAGCATTATAAAGTGGTTATATATTTAAAGAATGGCTGTTTTATGATGATTTATGACTATATTGACAGCAATTGGTAAGCAGGCATGGTTTGAAAAGGATTTGATAAACCTTTATTACATGGCATTCATTTGCTTGCATTACAAATTACATCTAGGGAAGTATTACATTTTCTGATTGGTCAGTTTGAACATTCAGCGACCTGTTTTTTTTTTAATAGCCGACTGTTGCTAAGGAGGAGGCTCTGATCAATAGACCTTGTTTAGTCATATCAGTCTGCAGAAAGAAGACCGGCCGATTAGCAGTGGCCAAAAAAAACAACACACATTTGGATTCATGATGGCTAAACTGTCCCCAGAAAACAGAAGAAAAAGAGAAGCAATGAGGTTAGAAGACAGAGCGCTGCACGACAGAGAATCCACAGAAGTCAACACCAACTTTAACTAACTGGCAGTGTTTAAAGACTGTTTAATGAAAAAAAAAAAAAAATACACTTGGACGGTTATGGCCCGTCCACACGGCAGCGTGCGTTGCTTCAACGGAGACGCTTCCCATTCACTTTGAATGGGGTGACGTCACGCTTTGCCGAACTGCATTGTGGTTCCGTTGCTTTGCCTCCGTTGCTCGCGCTGAAAGTTGAGAAAAGTTCAACCTTTCAAGCGTCGACGGAAGTGCAAGCTCTAGCCAATTAAACCGTGTGCTTGTGTGTCCAGGGCGGGAGATTAATAACCGCTTTCACACCAAGTACTTTGCCTTACTTAGTTCCCAGCACTTAGTTCCCCCATGGAACTAAAGAGCAGATCGCATTCACACCGGAATAAGTCCCTGAGGGAAGATTAAGCAAATGAAGCCGCTGACGTCACTTCTTCTTCTGCTTTGGGTTTACTGGCAGGCCGCAAACAACTTCAGGCGTATACTGCCACCCGAAGTCTCCGGCCGGAAGTCCCCAGAGTTGGGGACTGGCTAGAAGCTGCTGGGACTGAAGCACCTTCTACTGAAGCCTTCCGAGTAAATCGCCAGAACGCCGACACCTCCTCATCGCTCCACTGTTCCCATGTTTTTTTTTGTGTTGCCATAAGTCAGTCTCTCTCCGTTGGTGCGTGGGGTTAATGCTAATAATGCTAATGCCAGCAAATACAATGGCGGCTTCACAAAACTTTTCAGAGTTTTACGGGGCGTGGTTTGCAATTCGCCCAGCAAATCAGAAATGTGAACTTTTTTCTCCCCAGGAAAGTACCTGCTCTCCAGNTAAATCTTTGGTTCCAAAAGGAGTCCCAGGACAACTGACATTTTCATTGCCTGACTGAAAAAGAATCTCTGTAGCCTACTCAGGGCTCAACGCTAACTTTTAAAAGTGGTTGCAAGGCTGGCAACCAGGCATCGTCTTTTGGTTGCCAAAACTGAAAATACGGTTGCCATTTTTAGTCACCTTATATTTTAAATAATTAAGATACTATACAGTTATACATCAACTTAATAATGAAAATGTGACACAAAAGAATGTTCAAATGCTTTACAATAAGTAATTAACACAATTATTTGAAACTAAGTGGTAGTAAACTTGTCTACCCTCAATTGCTGGTAAACTAAATACCAGTAGTGCAGCTGTTATCATGTTCTTCACAGATCCCTCACAAATGAATTGAGCAAGTCACTAGTTTCTTGGTCATCTGTTGTCTCCCTTTCAAATGTGGGTTTTTTCTTGACCTTGACCCCCACCATAGATCCACTGGCCCTTCAGCATTGAAGTCTTCGATTGTGGTTCTGTCATTGGCCAGACTAATACATTTCTAATTTTAAATAAATGGAAACCATTCAGTTAAGAATTAGATATTAATTTGTAATGCTGTAAATTACCTTTGATATGTCTAACTATATTTAAAATGTGTTACCTTTTTATAGAAGTGATTATATTTGTATGCCAATATTTTTATATGGTAAAGTTTTGTTTTGCACTTTTATTTTGGTAGTAATAAGATCGGGAGTCTTATTTTGAAGGAACTTTTACCGGAAGTGAATGGACAACATTCAATTCATCTCGCAAAAATGGTTGCCAATGGCAACATGGCAACCGTTACTGTTGAGCCCTGCTAGCAGGGACTGAAAAGGGGGGAAAAGTTCTCATAAACTAAGTTCTCTTTTTGGTGTGAAGGCAAAATCCCAGGAACTATCGGAACTGAAAGGGAAAAGTACGGGGAAAAGTACTCCGGTGTGAAAGTGCCTAATGTGATTGGTTTTTGGTCGCACGCCAGATACGACCACCGGAAAGCTTCAACGCACGCTGACGTGTGGACGTACCTTTACGAGGCACAAAACCTTGATCAGTGCCTCCGTCATTTTGAGAAAGTGAGCTGTCTCTTCGCTGAAGGAATTTCTAGTAGTGTCAAGTGATGTAATTGGGACCACATTTTTTCCCTCAATTTATATTAGAAAAGAGACGTCCGTGAATGAGCACATTTTTATCTACAACCCAGTATGACGCTTGAATAGCCTTTATTTATATCACGAGGTCCTAAAAGTTTTAAAATGCACTAAAAAACTAATCTAGTTATATTCAAATCAATATATTCATGCTTGAATCAATATTATGTTAGTAAGTAGATGTGTAATAAGTGTCACTAAGTGGCCGTGACACAACATATTTTACCTTACCAATATATTATGTGAAGAGTTGAGAAATTACGCAACATTTTGAGTCTTACATTAGCGGCTGGGCTACCAATCAGTGGGTTAGTGGTTCAATCATACCCCCTTCATTCAACATGTCCAAGTGTCCTTGTGCAAGATACTTAGCCCACTTTAGGGCATGTTCACAGTTCTGAAGTGTATGTAAGTCACTTTAGATCAGTGGTCACCAACCAGTCGATCGCGATCGACCGGTCGATCGCGAGTGTGGTGCGGGGAGATCGCGGACCGTTAACAAAAAAAGTAACAAAAGAAAGAAAAATAAAATAAAAATAATAATGTTTGAAAAATACGTTTTTAGATGTAAACATATCACCCACCACCCTGTTAGCAGGTGCCACTTGATTGACGTATATTTGAGACACCTCAATAATATAATACATTAACCGTGCTTTATGTGAACCTCATCATGACACTAGAGAGGACGGCAGGACTGCAATTTCCCGTGTTCAGTGAATGCAACAGAGGCAAGTCACCAGACCAATCAGAGAGTTGCATGGAAATACACATGTGCTTGTATCATTCAAGCGCGGCTCTCTCTCTCTCTGTGTGTGTGTGTGTGTGTGTGTGTGTGTGTGTGTGTGTGTGTGTGTGTGTGTGTGTGTGTGTGTGTGTGTGTGTGTGTTGTGTGTGTGTGTGTGTGTGTGTGTGTGTGTGTGTGTGTGTGTGTGTGTGTGTGTGTGTGTGTGTGTGTGTGTGTGTGTGTGTGTGTGTGTGTGTGTGTGTGTGTGTGTGTGTGTGTGGCAATAGCGCATTTGGTGTGATAGAGAGAGAGGGTGAGAGGGTGAGAGGGAGAGAGAGGGACCGGTGCTAGCGGGGACCGTGATGTTAGCACCTGGTTAGCTAGCTGCACTAACGGACATAAGGAGCTGTTTCCACAACAAGCTGGAGGAGAGTCCTCCCCTGTCAGACTGAGGGGCTCAGGTGAGCTAAAGGACTCTGTGTGTTTAGATAGTTAACTTTAGTCTAAGTTATCTCAGTGGGTCTCAAACGGTTTGGTCACAAATTATTCAAAAGATTATTTCCGC